AGGCAATAATTCAAGAAAGGAGCCATCCAAGTCACACGATAGAGCAAGAGTGATCATCTAATAAGTGGCATAGCTGGGAAGATTTATAGGAGCCCCTCCTACAGGAGGCCAAAGTGGGCTTGGAAGGTTTCCCCGAGAAGCAGGGAAACGAGCTGGCGGAGAGGGGTGGGCAGGATTCAAGCAGGCGCAGGGGAGGAGAGGTCAAATAAGGTGGAGGAAACCACAGGGCAGCGGCAGGGCTTTAAGTCACTTACAGTCAACCAGAGAAGGAAGAGGTTCCAGAGCACCCCACGGAGGTTAATGGAGGACAGCACAGGAAAAGGTGGTATAATTAATAACTAACATTTGTTAAGTGCTAGGCAGAGTGTTAAGTGCTTTCTGTGTTTAGCAGAAAGAAAAATCACGCTTTTAAAATTATGCTGCAAAATAGTACTTATTAATCTAGATAAGGATCACAAGTATAAATGCTTCCAGGAGCCACACAGAATAAATAAATGAGTGACTCAGGGCAAGTGTTAGATAATAGGGAGTGGTAAGGATTGTGGCAAACTAAGGAGTATTTTTCTTCCCCTAAAAGGGGCAGTCACTCCTCAGCCCCAGCCAGATGAAGTCCCCAGTGACCACTATGATCTTAAATCCAACAGGCCTTTCCATACCTCATCAACCTGACCTCCTAGGCATCTTTGGTCCACTCTTCCTTAAACCACTCTCTTTTTCTTGCTTGTATGATGCCATACTTTCTCAGTTTTCCTTCTCCCTCCCTGGGCATTCCTTTGCTGGCTTGGCTATTCCTCCTCTGTTCAACTTCTGCATGGTGGAATTTCCCAGGACTCAGGCCCAAGCCTCTTCTCATCTGACTCTGCCCTCCCTCTCTCCTTAGACCATCTCACCTATCTGTAGGCCAATGATGCCCAAATTTATATTTCTAGCCTGGCTTTTCTGAAATCAATGGGATACCTTTGCATCTCACACATAAACAAACCCCATACTGATCTTTCGATCTCCCCTCATAAATCTGCATCCCTTTCAGGTTCCCCATGTCAATAAGTGGAGCCTCCATCCTCCCAGTTATACATGCCATCAACTCTTTCTCCTTCGTCCTCCACATTTGGCTCATCGCAGGCCCTGTGACTTCTGCTTTACAAATGCATCTCACATATGTCTACCTCCCTCACCTCCACTGCTACCACCCTCTTCCAGGCCATAACCACTGCTTGTCCAAACAACTGCTGTACACTGTCCTTTGCTTTCGTTCTCTTCCCCCTTCTAATCCATTCTCTATATGGATTCCAGAGTGATGACTTTAAAATACAAATATAATCATATCAATTGCATGTTTAAAAGCTTTTGATGGTTTCTCCTGGGTTTGGTATAAAATCCAAAATCGTCAGTGTGGTTCACAATGCCCTACATGAGCTGGGCTCGGGGCTATGAAATCAAATGTCTGTAGGGTCCAGGTGAATGACTTAAATAAATGAAACTAGGTGAGTCAGGGATTAATAGGGAGGAGTGTAGACTGTGGCAAACTGGCGTGCATGCCTGTTGAAGGGTGTAGTCTCTCGAATCCAGCAGATTGTTGGCATGTGGGAAGGTAGGTTCTGGAGCCAGATCTTCTGATATTTCAAGAGAAGCTGGTCATCCAGATTTTTAAGTAAATCTATGAATTTAAAAGTTGGCAACTGATTCACAAACATTTTTATCTACGCAAAATAAAAACAAAAACCAAAAAAATCACACCTGTGGGTCAGATGCAGCTCCCCAAGCAGCCAGATGTCGACTTCTGCTCCAAGGATCACGGACAGAAAACTTCTCTTAGAAAAATTGCTAACACTTTAGTTTGAGAAGCATTTAATGGGGTTGGGGGTGGGGTTTGCAAAGATAAAGTGTTTCTTCTTCCCCTTTCCTCAGGAAAGACTGAGACACAGAGAAACGCATTGCTCTGTGTAATAGATTAAAAGGTGTCCTCCTTGGAATGAACGGTTTTGCGTTTTGCACTGGATTGTGGATTTTCTCCAGGCTGTCCAGAGGAGAGGAGATTTGGAGGCCCTAAAACAAGGAGAAAAGAGGAGATGGGGAAAGGGCCGAGGTCCAGTGTCCATGGCTCAGAAACCAGGCAGCAGGCCAAGCCTGCAGGGAGACGGCAAAGGGCCTCGCCGTGACCTGGCACCGCACACAGACAGCAGGAATCCTGCGGCCTGCTGGCCAGCTCAGTCCTTTCCGATTCTGGGCTCTCCCCTCCTCTCCTTCCCTGCTTTGACAATCCCTGAGCCCCACTAACATAGGCTTGAGCCAGCCCTGGCTGCCTCGGGGTGAAGCCACCTGCAGAGAGCTGGAGCATCTTGGAGAGGTGGTGATGAGCCAGGCAGAGATGATCCGAGCCAGAGGGGGCAGATGACACACAGGACCTGCCACAACCACTTACAGAGATGTTGAGAAGGCACTGACCTGCCCACAGCAGCCCCCGCAATGGACACTTAAGTTGGTAGACGTGGATATTTCAGGTTAAGGTGACCCTGGAACCCTCAGGTTGCATATGTGACATCTCATGTAATCGTCCCAACAGCCCCGTGACGTAGGTGTTATTCTCCTCATTTTACAGATGGGGAAACAGGCCCAAGAGAGGAGGTCACTTGCCGAGGCCACCGGGTTCCTAAGGGCTAGAACCAGAAAGTCCAGGAATGTACCAGCTCTGCCCTCGCAGGAGGCGAAGAGGGGACAGTACTTCTGAAGATGGAGGGATCTGAAGGAAGGCCACTGGAGATGGAAATGGCTGAGGGATGAAAACTTGATTTGCTTTGGCCAGTTTCTGCATCAGTGGTGGGCCTTCTCCAGAGCCCCCCGGACAGTTCTGTTCACATCAGGCTGCACTAGAAGACGCTGCCGGGCCCCCCAGTCCCGACTCCGCAATGTTGGTTGTGGATGACGCGTTTATTTTAGAAACAGGGCTTGAGCATTTGTGCTGGGGGCCCTGTGAGAGAGGCTGAGAAATCAGGAGTGAATAAGACACAGTCCGTGCCGCGCGGTCCTGGATGGGTGAATGAGGGCTTGTACAGCGCCCTGGGAACCCAGAGAGGAAGCCATCGATCCTCCCCGGGAGGCCCGGGTCCTCCAAGATGAGAACACGTCCGAGGCGAGCCTTGGGGGGTCTATTAGTTTCCTGCGTCTGCCGTACATAACAAAGTACCACAGACTGAGTGGCTCAAAACAACAGGAATGTGTGTCTTACAGTTCCGGGGGCTGGAAGTCTGAAATAAAGGGGTTGGCAGGCAGGACCGTGCTCTCTCTGAAGACGCTGGGGAAGGCTCTGTTGCATGACGCTCTCCCAGCTTCTGGTGGCCTCAAGCATTCCTTGGCTTGTAGATGCATCAGTCCACTCCTCCGTCTTCTTGTGGCATTCTCCGTGTCGTCACATCGTCTTCCCTGAGTGCGTGTCTGTCTCGGTGTCCAAATTCCCTCTTTTTATAAGATCAACAGTCGTATTGAATTAGGACCCACTCTGAGGGCCTCATCTGGACTTGGTTAAATCTGTAAGACCCTATTTCTAAAGAAGGTCACATTCTGGGGTAGTGGGAGTTAGGACTTCAACATATCTTTCAGGGGATTCAATTCAACCCATAACACAGATCAAGCAAGAATTCCACCTGGGAGAGGAGAAGGGGCTCTTCAGCAAGGGATGCACACACAAAGGCAGGGACATGTGAGGTCCAGGGTGTGGTCACTGAGGGGATGAGGCTGGGGCCAGTTTGAGAATACAGATGTGATCTGAGGGGAGACACTATGGAAGGTGAACTTTGAGTCAAGCACACCTGGGTTTTGATACTGACATTGTCAAGCTCTATAACCTTGGGCAAGTCATTTAACTTCTCGAAGTCACAATTGACCCATCTGTAAAATGGGCATAAAGGGCTATCTACCACAAAATGTTTTTGGGAGGATTAAATGAGTTAATAAATAAATATAGTACTTAGCATAGTGTTTGGCACAAGAATGGCTGCAAAAAAATATGTTGCTCTTTTTTTCTTTCTTTCTTATTCTTTTCTTTTGTGGTGAGGAAGATTGGCCCTAAGCCAGCATCTGTGCCAATCTTCCTCCATTTTGTATATGGGACACCACCACCACATGGCTTGACAAGTCGTGTAGGTCTGCGCCCTACAGGATCCAGGCAGGCACACCCAGGCCACCAAAGCAGAGCATGCGAACTTAACCACTATGCCATGGGGCTGTCCCCTCTTTTTTTGTCCTTTTAACAAACAATGTTGCCCTTCTGTGTAGTGTGAAATCACCACTATTCACCACTAATGGAGGAGATAGCTTTGCAGATAATTAAGTGAGCGGCTTCTCCATCCCATCTCTGACCATCTGGAACATTCTTCCCTCGGTTGTCCTCTGAGAGTTGGACCTGAGGCTGGGGCACTCAGAGTAGGTTGCCCATCACTGTTTAAACAGAAATCCCACCTCAAAGGTGAGTCGCCTCACCTCGCCCGTCACCATGACCACCGCCCCCCCCCCCCCCCAGGAAATGCTGCTAATGGTGATGATAAAAAGAGCTCTCCAGGACCCAAAGAAGCTGCCCAGAAGTTTGTTAAACAGGCTACTTGCTGCAGCTCCATAGTGAAAAACAACCTGCAGGAAGAGGCTGTGCTGATGCACCTGCTTTAAGGATGCATCTGGATAAGTCAGGAGCTCTGCACTTTGCTCCCACTAACTCATCAACGTCTGCTGAGTGGTTCATGCAGGACTCCTGGCTCCCGGCCCCTCTCGGTGAAGAAGCTGAGAAGCAGCAGCCTTGGCTGCCGCCCAGCGGCCCCATCTGTAATCTTCCTGCTCATCGTGGCTCACACCAGATCTTTGCAGCAGCAAGCTGCAGGCTCAGGCTGCCAGGAGAAGGCAGCCCTGCGACTGGTGACTTAGTGGCAGGGAGGTGGTGGGTGGGACTTGGGGCCTGAGGGGCCAGCACTGGTGACGACCAAGCACTTTGGAACAGAAGACAGGAAACTGAGTCCTGAGAACAAGCCCAGCAGCAGAATTGCAATTTAATGAATTCATAGTAATTCCATTTGTGTCACTGAATCCTCCCCGTGGGTTTAGACAAGCAGAGCCCCTGCTTCTTGCTTCCTAAAAGGCAGCCTGAACCAAGGTCGAGATTCTACAGACAGGGGAACCCTCCTTCCTTTTCTGCCACCCACCCCCACCCCTAAGCCCGAGCAATTATACAGGAGCATCCAGAGAGATGTGGGTGGAGATTGTCCTTTATTGGTTTTTATTTTGGAGAGTAAGGGCTAGAGCCAAAAGATGATGCCAACACAGCAGGCATCAGAATGACCCCTGCACATGCAGGACCCTGGTGGCTGCTCACTCTGGATCTGGTGATTGACAAATGTGACCCAGGAAAACAATGTCCCCTCAGCTGCAAAAGCTCCCTGGCCCCTCCCCATTTTTCTTAATTTCAAGACCCCCCCACCCACACCCACCTCAGGTAGCCTTGTCGTTCTCAGTAAGCAGATCTAGCAAAGGGGGCTTTTACTCCTGTGGCCTCAGCCCCACCCCCACCCCCCAAAATGAACATGCATCCCCTGGAGATAAAGGGAAATCAACACAGGATGCTGGAACACGGAAAGATGGCATTCTTCATTTTTCATGATCCTCCAGCTTGGGTGAAAGGCTGCCCTCCCTCAAACCAATGGGACACGGGAAAGAGCTGAGGCCATACCACCTTTCCCGTCTCCCCAGGGCCCTGTGTCGTATGGCCCCCCCACCCACACCCTGGCCCAGCCTGATTTCAAATAAACTCAGCCAGAAGCCTTCCATCTCTTCTCTTGGGAAAAAGACATTTGGAGGCCCAGCCCCATGGCCAAGTGGTTAAAGTTCCACGCTCTGCTTCAGCGGCCTGGGTTCTCAGGTTCAGATCCAGGTGTGGACCTGCTCCACTCATCAGCCAAGCTGTGGAGGCATCCCACATACAAAAAATACAGGAAGATTGGCACAGATATTAGCTCAGAGCGAATCTTCCTCAAGCAAAAAAAGAGGAGGATTGGCAACAGATGTTAGCTCAGGGCCAATCTTCCTCACCAAAAGAAAAAAGACATTTGGGAGCTAGCAGATGTAGGGCTCCACTGAACATTTAAACCAAAATTTTCTTCTTGCACAGTTTCTTTCAACCCAAAGGTCTCATCCTGCTCTCCCCAGGGGATTTTTGATGTGTGAAGCCTCCACACCTGGCTCTGAGCCTCCCCCAGCAATTGGTGGGCCCTGTGGAATGTTTCTAGTTGCATAAACCCCTCATCACCCAGACTCCCTGCATTCTCCCAGAGGAGTCTTGGGTTTTTCTCAGCATCTCTCCCCACGGTCTGCTGTGGTGTCCTGAGCTGGAGGTACCCAGGCTGGCAGGGGGAGTGTCAGGTGCCCTTGCTTTCTGTCCTCTCCTCATCAGCTGTCTGGGTGTTGCTGACGGCTCGAAGCTGCCCCTGGGCTGCGGGCTTCACCGACAGGACAAGGCGCTTGCGGAAGGTCTCACAGAGCACGATGTACACAAAGGGGTTGAGGCAGCTGTTGGCATAGCCCAAGCTGATGGCCGCGTTGTACAGGTAGACGAAGGTGAGCGTCGGGCGACTGATGGACAACTGGGTCAGCTGTAGCACATAGTAGGGCGCCCAGCACACAAAGAAGACCAGGCAGATGGCAATGGCTGTGCGGGTCACCCTCTTTGTCCGCAGCCGGATGCTGCGTTGAGAGGCAGGGGCCACTGAGGATGTCATGCGCTGCAGGATCCTCACATATGCGGCCGTGATGACCACGAAGGGCAGGGCAAAAGCCAGGAAAAACTGGTACAGGGTGAACCAGTAGAGGTCAGTGTCCGGGTTGGGCAGGCGGATACCGCAGCCCACTGTGCCCCCTGGGAAGGGGATAAGCCTGGCATAGAGCCACACGGGCGTGATGCTGATGAAGGAGAGTGCCCACAGGAGGCAGATCACCAGGGTGGCCACAGAGGGCTTCCGGAACTTGGTGGAGGAGATGGGGTGGACGGTGGCCAGGTAGCGGTCAATGGCCATGGCAGTCAGGATGTAGGTGCTGGTGAACTGACTGTTGGCATCCATGGCCGTGATGAGGGTGCACATGGTCTCTCCAAAGTGCCAGACGCCATTGCCCATGAGCTGGTGGATCATGAAGGGCATGCCCAGGAGAAAGAGGAGATCGACCACCGAGAGGTTGATGATGAAGATGTCAGGGACGTTGCTGCACCAGCGCAGCTTGGACTTCTTCACCACCGCGAAGATGACCGTGGAGTTCCCAACAATACCCAGGAGGCAGATGGTGCCGAAGACGGAAGGCATGATGATGTTGATGTAGGAGATACTCCCTGTGCGAGCAGGTGGCCCTGGGGACAGAGGAGCAAGCGTCAACTGTCTGACATGGACTCTGCTCTCTAAGGGCTGACATCCTACTGGCAGGCTCAGCCTCCAGTCATGCCCTTGCTCACCTCTTCACCCTCCCTCATTTCAGCTCAGGGCCCACCATTCATCTGGAACCCTCTTCTGCCATTCTCCCTCCCCACACTGCTGCTAATCCTGTTCCCTTGCCCTCCTCCACCAGTCCCTGGTTAATCGGACCAAATTCCCCTGCATCACCTGTTAGTTGAAGAACTCAGTCCTTTGCCTCTTGCATTTTCTCAGAAGGCACAGAGTCAAGAACCACATTCTCTGCTGTCTGCAGAGAATTATGGTGTGAGCCCCTGGGCTTTACCGGGAAACCTCACCAAAATAGCCAGAAGGACATGAAAGTGTCTGTGCGTGTGTGCGCGCGCGCGTGCACATCTATGTGGTTTCTCTTTTCCTATTTGCAGCCCTGATCATTTCATTTTAGAAATCGCTGGTTGGAAGCTGTGCACTGATTCCTGGGCATCTCTGTGGGCGCCTGCCTTGTGGAGGCTTTTGCCCATGGGCCCCACAGCCCCCCATCCTGGGTTCCTTGGTCAGTATCTCTGAGCCTGGGCTTTCCCCAGGAGTGAGCAGACTGAAGCTGTGTGTTGCAGCCCAGCCGCCTGAGAATTTCCTTCTCACAAACCTTTCTTCTTTTTCCTTCCTTCCCTTCTCCTTCAAAGATAGAATTCCAGGGCATCTTAGCTCTGGAAATGTCAGGAAGCTTCATTCACCAGGAAAGTTAATCCCCTCAGGGCTCTCTGAGTTACCCCTTCCGGCGGCCTTTTCCAGGGGGCAGTGAGGATGTTTCAGACCCCATTACGCGAGTTGGAGTAAAAAGCCAAGGGGATCCGTGAGTGAGCAAGCCTCCAGCTGTCTCCCCACACTCTATCCTCCAGCTTCTCTTGCTTGCTTTTCCAGCCTGGCATTTTTTCTGCAAAGCATTTTTAAAACTCATCCACAAGCTTTCCCCTGTCTCCCAGGCAGCTGGCCACCATCTCTTGCCAATTCTGAACGTGCCTTTGCCTTCTCGTCTGCTCCCGTCCCTTCTGCCCCTGCCTGCCCCGCCCCCTTCTCCCCTTCCCCTCCGGGCAAAGCAGACTGCAGATCTCTTCCCTAAGAACTGCAATAAAGTTTCCCAAGCAGTTTGGCTCAGAGGTGAAGCCTTCCCATTTCCCACCCCCATCGCAGAGGAGGGAGCACTCCCCTCCAACACCACTCACCGGCCGAGGTGAGGTTCTCCGGGCCATCCGAGGTGTTGCTGGCATTGGGGCTGGTGGGCAGCAGCGAGGCTTCCAGGTCCATCCTGCCGGCGCCGGTCGCCCGTTCCCAGGGCCACCCACGCAGGCTGCGGCAGCCTCCAGCGCCCGCCCGCCTTGTCCCAGAGCCTGAGCCCCGCAGTCCGAAAGGGGGTCTTCCTCGGCAGCCGGGCAGCCTCTGCTGCCTCCAAGCCCCACTGCGCTCCCTACTCCCTTCTTCCCCGGCTCCTACTGACATCACCTAGACACATTAACATTCGGAGGCAGATGCACATTAACCTCTTCAGTCCCGGATGCAGCTCCCACTTTTGACTGCCTGCAGAGCCCGGGGCCCTGAGGAAGCCTGGAGGGCCGGCTCAGGCACTCATCAGAGAGGGGCTTCCTCCCCCTGCCACTGGGGGCTGTGTCTTCTGTGCTCACAGGGAGAGCTGCTGGCTTCATGGCAGGCTCCAGGTCTCTGCAAAGGTGGATGGGCTGCCTCCCTTTGGAGGAGAGAACCAGCCTGGCCCGGCCCCTAGCCCCAGGTACTGGTGGCTGGGCCATGTGGCAGGGGCCGGGGTGACTGTTCACAGAGCTTGGGAATGGAAGCCTTGGACCACAGCATGCCTGCCCTCTAGGCGACCCTCAGCCCCTTCCCAGTGCCCCCATGGATTCCAACCATCCCGCTGGCTAGACTGCCAGTGTGCATCAGAGGAGTTCTTGGCTGGTGAGCTGTGCCTGACCAGCACTCAGAGGTGACTCAGGTCACTTCGTGCTGGTGATGGCCAGGATCTCAGGGACCAGAAGGGGACAAACTCCCTTTTCCATGGGATCAGCATAGAGCAGGCTTATAGAGGTTTTATTTTTCTAAATGCTCTGAAGTCTTTGAGGTGTTACCTGGGACTCCTTGAGACAAATATCAGAGCATAGGCCCCCAAAGATGGTCAACCAGGAAGCAGCCTCAGAGGGCAAAGCATCGGGTGAATTCTCAGCAGAGGTATGCTGCTGCCAGCCTCCAGTGCCCTTCACAACTGTGGGGGATCAGAATTGCCCACCCCCAAATATGTCTCTTTGGCATAAGGATTATTTTGGGCTGGTTACTTTTAAAAACTGCACACGCGGGAAAAGCTCTGAAAACCAAGTAGAAGTAGAAGTTACTCTTGTAAGAGACATGTACATTTGTAAGGGAAATCTCCATCTGTAAAGGTGTCTCCCTCTCTGTACCAGGAAGAAGGGGGATGACCTTATCTCCGGAAACTCTTATCAATGCGGAAGGCAAGGACTCGGGTCTGCATAACAACCCTACTCTTGTTTACTGGGCTTTTCTGGGAATCTCCCATACCTGACTCTCCCCACCCCCAACATCTTACTTTGTCTTTAGCTGAAGATAATATTTCAGCTGCAGCTCAGCCATTTTGTTGAGTTACTCAGTTTTCCTGGGTCTCTCCCATGTTACATGTTATAAAGCTTTGTTTGATTTTTTCCTGTTATTCTGTCTCATGTCAATTTAATTCATAGACCAGCCAGAAGGACCTAGAATGGGTAGAGGATCTTCCTCCCCAACAGTTTGGCAATGAGGGTAGGATAAAACTTCACTGGCTGCATGCTGCTTGCTCCTAGACTCCAGCAGCTGAGAGATCCTGGACCCCTGACAAGAGCTGGCAGTAGCTAAGAGTTCTTACCACGTCAGTCTCGCAGATCTCTGCCTGCAGGGTCCATTGGAAGCAAGAGTGGTGAGCTTTGTTTCCTTTTCAAAAATATAGGAGAAAATATTGGTGAAGCCAGCTTCTTGGACTCAGTGACTCTAGGATTTGGTTGAGTACTCATTGGTTAATTGATCCGTTTCCTCCCTGAGATAGTCGCTATTTTTTCTTGTCTCTGCCTTTTTTGTCATTTGTCATAAGACACAGGCATTTCTATAATCCTGTTGTCTGGGAATATGGGCATGAGGTGAAAGCTGTTGCTAAGGGCATCTTGGAAGCCAAAAAGGCCACAAATTTGGTGGGTGCAGGTTGAGCAGTTAAGAGCCATTAGGGTGCTCACCACCTCAAGGGGTCTCCAGTGAAAGAATGAGTTGGTCACAGGATGGGGTGGATGACACAGTTCCCCCCCCCCCAACTTCAAGAATGTCCATGCAATGACTAGGTACTCTGTAAAGCACACACAATCCCCAAACCCGCAGCACCTCCCTCCTAGGTATTATTCTGGCTCCAAGAGACCCAAGGCTTAGCTAAAACTCTTAATGTGCATATAAGATGAGGTTTTTTCTTTCATCTTGTTCTATGTCTTGGGAGCTTGGCTTTGTGATCTTTCTGGTCTCTGCCATCCAGAGGATGTACAAAGTGGCATGCATCTCAGCAGCCAGTCAAGTAGACTGGGGTTCTGGGACACATTCTCTTTGTCTGACTGTGTTAGCTCTCAGGGCAATTTGTCATAAGGGGTCCCAAATGCTTTCATTAGAGACCTTTGTCATCTCAACCTTCATTGCTTTTTCACCCTCCATGTGCAATGAAGGTCTTTGCTTTTCTTAGACTATTTTTGGGAGTGAACTTTCTGGATCTCTTTTGGGGACGCCTCTTGCATCCATGGTTAAACTTATTGATATGAGTTACTTTAAGATCCTACTCATCACTGTGGCCAGATGATGGATCATTTAAATTGGGAAAACTTTTACATTGGGGAAAAAAATTTATGAGAGCTCTCATCATAATTGTTTTGTTGGTACCTAGGAAAAGGCCAAATTGAAAAAGGAAATACAAAAAGAAAAAAACCCAAAAAAAAACCCTAATAGCTAGGCTTAAGTCCCTGACTAGGGCTTCAAGTGAATTGAGAAAATGTAAATGTATAAGTGTTGATAAGATTATAAAGGTTGGAATGTTTGAGCTAATTTTAGATAGAGAGGTTATATCAACATTGTCTGAGTATGTTTTTAAATGTCTGTCTGGGAATACTTCCCCTGTCCAAAATTATAAGACCAGGACCTATTTATAAAGTCCTAATGAAAGCTATGATGGAATTGAGATGAAATTTTGTAGAAAAATTAATGTATTTATGAGCTTTTATGTGACATGATTGCATCTCTTTTTGCCTTATTGTATTATAGATCGTATTGTGGGGATAGACATCGTGTCTCACTGGGGAAAGGAACGTTTCCCCTGCCTGATTGTAAGCCAGCATATAAATCCTCCCTCAGACAGTGTTAATTAAACTTACTAAAGGGAAGTGAGTGGGGTTACCTGAGCCCACACAGTATGAGATAAAAACTAGAGGCTAATATCAGGTGCTAATAAAAAAGGATAATAAAAGGACTTCCCCCATAAATGGGTCTAAGGTTTAACTGTACACTTAGAAAGAGGGCCTTTGTTAAATGCTTTGTGCACACTTCTTAAGGTGTGATACACTGTCCTGAAGTTTTAGAACATAAAAAAATTTTTTTAGCCACAACTAGAAAGACCCACAACTAGGATATACAACTATGTACCGGGGGGCTTTGGGGAGAAAAAGGAAAAAAATAAAGATATTTATTTTCTCCTCAAAGCCCCCTGGTACATAGTTGTATATTCTTCATTGTGGGTCCTTCTAGTTGTGGCATGTGGGACGCCGCCTCAGCACAGCTTGATGAGCAATACCATGTCCTCCCCCAAGATCCAAATTGGTGAAATCCTGGGCCACTGAAGTGGAGCATGAGACCTTAACCACTCGGCCACGGGGCTGGCCCCTAGAACATAAAAATTTTTTGATTAATCTCTTAAGTTAAAGATTTCCCTGATATAAAGAGATTAGAAACGGATAAGACAAATATGCCCCAGAAACTCCATCTTGAAGAAAACTTGACTGCTTTCTCTGTGTCTTTATGATGGAGATTTTCTGCTCCCATCTTCTCTAGGAGCTAAGAGTCATTCTTTGAAATGCAAATGTTTCTCGGAAACTAGTGAGTTTTATATTATACCTGATTCATAACAAAAATTTAACAGAAGCTATAAGGTCTCTGTCTGTGTCTGCTTGTGTGTTTATGTGTGTCCATATGTATGTCATATATGTGTAATATTTTACATCCAGATGGTATGACCAAAATTAAGAGCTCTGTTTAATTGGCCTAAATTAAGCACTTAACATAAATTATTTCTAAATGTAATAGAATCCAATCCAAATGTCTTTCAAGCTAACATGATATGAAATAACCTTTGGTAGATAAAAGCTTGTTTAAATTTGTTGGTTTGATTAAAATAGGCATGTCCTGAGAGTTATCAGCATTGGATACAATGCAGACATGCAGGCTGGGTTTACTAGTAAAATAAGCTCATGCTATCCCTGTTACAAATTTGTCAGCAAAATAGCTATGAATGATAGCTAATTATGTCTCATGAAGTTTTCGTGGGTAATCTAAACATAATTGTTGGAAACAAATAATTTAGGTGTAAATGAGATAAGAGTTTAAATTTTTAGCAATATTTATATTTTATGATGTGTATTTAATAACTTCCAAATCTCTTTGGTAGCTTGAAACTTTGAAGTTTTGCTCAATTAAATGATGAAACATTCATTGAATATCTACCTTATTTCTAAATAAGGTAAGATATTAGATGTTAATTACTAAATGTAAGTTTATCTACTTTTGGCTTCCTATTACAGAAAAACTAAAAGGTGTTTTAGGTCTATTGGTGAACATGTCTTGTGTTTTATTAAAAGATTGTACTATGAAGTGACATGTTTATAGAAATTATGAAAAGTGTTTATAAATTTTCCAAGCTACAGACAATTCATAATTGCTTACTTAGTTTTCGCTAAAAATTAAGATCTCTAAAGGTTAAAATTAAGGTTTCTAAGGGTTAAAAATTCTAGCACAACCAGAAGGACCTACAACTAGAATATACAACTATGTACTTGAGAAGAAGAAGAAAAAAGATTGGCAACAGATGTTAGCTCAGGTGCCAACCTTTAAAAAAAAACTTCTAATATGTGATTAAAGCTACTAAAAATTAATGAAAATATGTTTGTATTCGAGGAAAGTAAAATGTATGTTTTCAAATTTTTCCAACATTTTTATTTGAAATCATTGAGAACTGAAAATACCCTTGTTCCTGAAGCCCTGCAAACTAATGTAACTCAGATATGATAACTTGATATAAACTTTGTAAAGATCACCACGATAGCACACCTGTTGCTGTGTAAGCCCCTCAAAAGGATACCTGAACACCCAATGAATCATCAGAGACATTTCAAGCTGCAAAAGATGCTTCAATTCTGACAACTAAAAATCTTCTTGACTGGCTGTCTCCTGAGCTCAAAAACTGGTTTATAATTTGCTCCAACCATTATCTTTGTTTTTCTTTTTGTTTCTGTAGAAATACTTCTTGTTAACTACCTGACTGCTTGCTTCCACAAGATAGGGCTAACTTTGGGAGCCCACCTGTATCACTGCCTTCTAAAATGAACTTAACTGGACTGACCTATTATCAGGACTAAGAGATGTGTTCAATGAGCTGGAACAATCTATCAACTCAGCTTCTCAACTTTGAAAATTCTTAAAGTTTCAAAGGACCGTGAAACTTCTTAAGGTTTCAAAGGCAGGACTATGGGGGATCAGAATTGGCCACCCCAAAATGTGTCTCTTTGGCATAAGGCTTATTTGGGGCTGGTTACTTTTAAAAACTGGACACGTGGGAAAAGCTCTGAAAACCAAGTAGAAGTAGAAGTTGCCCTTTGTAAGAGACATATACATTTGTAAGGGAAATCTCCATCTGTAAAGGTGTCTCCCTCTCTGTACCAGGAAGAAGGGGAGATGACCTTATTTCTGGAAACTCTTATCAATGTGGAAGGCAAGGTCTTAAATCTGCATAATAACCTTATTCTTGTTTACTGGGCTTTTCTGGGAATCTCCCATACCTGACTCTCCCCACCCCCAACATCCTCCTTTGTCTTTAGCTGAAGATAATATTTAAACTGGCAGCTTGGCCATTTTGTTGAGTTACTCAGTTTTCCTGAGTCTCTCCCATGTCTACATGTTGTACACGTTTGTTTGATTTTCTCCTGTTATTCTGTCTCATGTCAATTCAATTCATAGACCAGCCAGAAGAACCTAGAGAGGGTAGAGGATTTGTCTTCCTCCCCTACACAGCCAAGAGCTGCCACCACACTCACTGCCAGACTCAGAAGCAGGGGTTCAAGTTCTACACAGTCTAATCCCTACACACTTCTTATTTATTTATTTGCTTGATCCAACAAATATTTATTGAGCACTTACTACTTGTCAAGCACTGTTCTAGGTTCTGTAGAAAAAAAAATAATAATAAAGTCCCTGAGCCCCTGTACTCCTGGAGATTACATTTAAATGGGGGGCACAGAAACAGAAAATATATCCCCCAAAAAAGCAATTTATGATACATGTGATCAGGGCTACAAAAAACTTATAGCAGTGTGAGGGGCCAGGG